TTCGTTCAATATTATGCGTCTCTTCGAATACAGTACATAAAAGTGTTTAGATGCGTTACTTCGAAAAATTGATTCCATTGGGAACTGATTCAAACTGTATTGACTATATTGTGTATATATCACGATATTCCATCTCCCGCACATCTTCTTTTACATACATTTATTTCTAAGACCTTCCGTTATCATTTCACTACCAAAAACGAATGCAGCAGAGCACTTTAACCTACGACTCGATTTTTATCTCAAAACGACGAGTTCGCTTGAAGAATTCACTTTGTGATTCTTTCTTTTCCCAACATAAAATTGGCTGAAAACTAATTTTTAAAATGTTTATCCTTTCAGACAAATTTAAAAGGCGCGTAAAATAGCGCGCTGTATTGCCGAAATCAATTATTCCTCCCGTGAATATGTTTCAGAGTACCCTAAACCAGAATGGATTTGGGGTGATATTTTTACTTTAAAATTTTTAAAAATTTTGAAATTAAATTATATATGATAGTTTTGATATTACAGCCCTTGTGACATTTTGCAGTAATCCGGTGCCAGTTCAACAGCTCACTACAAAAAAAATTTTACAATGCAATACTTGTAAACTTATTTTACACTTTGCCAGGACCAAGCATTAAACGATTAAATTCGCATATAAAGAAATGTTTAAGTCCAAGTTACAATCTTTCTACTCTGTGCAAACTGTTAGTACACAATTAGAGCATATAACAACATCAAAAGAAGACCTATTCATTTTACAGAGTGACGTAATATTTGCCATTTGAACGTGAATAATTGTAAATAACCTGTAACAATTATTGTACCTTATCAGCTTCTGGTCAATGAAGCAAGTCTCATTTCGGTTCGCTTCTGCAGGTTCGTGTATGTTTCCCTGGATCCTTGAGAAAATGTTGAGATGGCCTCTGTTTTACTTCTGGTCTCAATGGTACCTATCAAATATAAGTACAGCGCTAGTTTGGCCTTCTACTCGTGTTCCACCATGCATAGTCCAGACAGCTTTTAACTGTATTTATCACGAATGAATAAATAAATACACGTTGTATTTGCTAATTCTCCCATGGCCGATCATCAGAGACAGAGTGCCGATGATAATTCATGAATCTGTTATGTCACTTCGAAATTCTTGCTGATTCTTCTACAATTGGAGTGCGTTTTGAGGTTCCGGCCTTGGTGAGACCGAAAATCCCTTAATTTATTCTGCGTGTCTGATTCAACCTATCCACCTATAGTTGTCAAATCACGGTGTACGTTGTTGTTACGTGGTATTCTAGCGACGGACAAGTCGTTCACTTCACCAGTCACCCGCCGCAAAGAGGCCCAATTTCGCATTTCCGGTATTTTTGGTAGTATCTGAAAGACAAAATTTCTTTTTGCGTTACTAGCTGAGCAACAAAAAACGACGATAATTCCCATTAATTATATTTGTATGTAATCTTTGTAATTTCTTCGTCTCTGGTACTTGCGGCTAGTAACTTGGATGTCCAGTTTAGCGATTAGTTTTAAAGCGAGGTCAAATGAAGTGCGACAATTCTGTTGCATAACTAATTAGTTATTGAAAAGCGGACAAATTTTGAGCGTTAATTCAATTTTTTAAAAGATTTTTGCTAATGCTAAATTTTACGGACTTCTCGAGTAGGAGGTCCGAGAAAATCCAAATCCTTTGCGGCACTTCGAAACGTGGTTTCCCAAAATAGACAACTTTGCGCAAGGGCCTTACCAGTTTCACTAATACAACAGGAATTGCCCGTAGCTAGCTTTCCTCGCCTAATACTTCCCGCTCCATCTCGCTTCGCTACCTACTGATCATTCTTGAGCACCAAGTCACCTCATTTTACGGGACTTGTTCGAAGGATGACTTCTTTAAGATTTTTTGAATCGTAAAGCTTTGAGACAGGTCAGATTCGACCAGTGGAATAATCATTTTCGATAAAATTTAGAATAGGTTGTACTCGTAGGCTATTCAGACTGTAGTTTTTCTACGTAATTCTAGCTGTGTTCGGCCTAGTGTTTGTTCACAGATCGGCCGCGCAGACGACGGACGTATTGAAAAAAAAACACTTTTTGGGTATTAAGGGGATTCCCGAAAACATGCATTTCGTTGAATACTCGAAATTGATTTTCCGAAACATTACATAAACTTCTCTATATTACTCAGGGACCATACGTATGTAATAACTAATGTTGTGATGCGGAGAATAGCGAAACGCTTATCTGACAATTACCGAGCGGGCTACAACGAGAATCGCCTACTTGTCTGCCTCGCTCCCTAGAGCCCGCCGTCATGCATGCCCGCGCTCTAATGCAATCCACCCATTCATCTTTAAGTGTTTTGACTCTTCAAATTAAACTATATTCATTTTTAAAAATATTACTTGCACTTTTACTCAGTCAACGCCAATGTAATCTCACACCTGTATAACATTGGAGGCCAAGACTTACAGGCACAGGCACCATAAACCGACATCAATTGCTTCTGATTTCTGAAAATACCTTACAATATTCAGTGAAAATGTTACATCTTATAAATGGATGAATCCCTATTTTCTAGATATAAAATGCATAACTTAGGTCACACACAAATCTCGGGGAACATCCTTCTTTAACAATTTGGTGAACACTCTTGTTAAATAGTAATTTTGGCACGGAGGATGTACAGCTGTGTAATCACATCAAGGGATTACAGATTACTCGTGCAACTGCAACTAGATAGCGTTTTTACTACAGAGCATGTGGCATGAAAAAAACCATAACCCTCAACTTACTTCTCGCGCCATTTCTTGTCCAACTAAACGAAGCAGCTAACGTAATTGCATTCCCCACTTTTTCGTCTAAACCCAAGCCCTTATGTGGCTGTGGGCAGAAATGCGTTGTGTCTTTTGCGCAGTACTTTTTACTTCTTCATCTTCATGATGTGATTGAATCAAAATGAGCGAGAGTAGCTACAAAAAAACCAATGTAGCAACAACTTGATGGTAAATTTAAAATGATCACCAGTTCTTCGGGTTAACCTTCCACCCGATTCTACGAGATTATCAACATTATCCACACGTTTACCATGACAACCACGTAACCGGTACACTACGTTCACTACTTCGCAAATACGCTTCAATCGCAAGAGCCTTCGTCTATGCGTTACCAAAGAGTATAATATTTGTTTCACGTGGGATATCACCGCAATACAACCTGCCGTAAACCCCGCCCATCTACTTACTATTAACAAAAAGACATTGACTTAGCGACTTTTGTTTAGAAATTTAAGTTTGAAGAAAAAAGGGTCCTACCCGGCAAACTCGAAAACCCCCACTATTTCTTGTGGGTTTTTAATTCTGGCGCGCGGAGCCCTGCTTGGCTCTGGCCTTCCCGTACGATGGTATTTCACGGTATTCTACACCACCTCTACAGCATCTTCCAGATCAGAATCCAAAAACACTCAAACCAACACGAACTGGTCAAAGCATTCCTACAGCAGTGCTAATACACATTCTATTAAGTCCAAGCAATCGCACAGGGAAACTCAGCAATGCCCAACCACTCAAATAACGATTAATTAAAGAATCCTAATAATAAAACAGAATATAAAAGAAGAGCAAAAATATGGTTTTGGTCTGAATGCACAACGAGAGGCCAGTACTCGGCCTACTACGAGAAAGCCACAGCTTTCAAATGTACAACAATACGGCTTTGGGAAGGAAAAAAATATGTCTCTCTTTAAGACGGGTGGGGGAGCGCAGGAAAAGAAGGCAATAAAAGCTCACCGAAGAAGACGAAACACGACCGATTCGTAGCCGTAAAGCACAACTAAACCACATATTCCAAATGAATCCAAATCAACTCTTGGAAAATAATATTTTAAAAATGAATATATTTATTTGAAGAGTCAAACACTAAAATGAATGGTGGATTGCATTAGATTCAGGAAAAATGCTCAGCATTCATATTTAATTTTAGTGCAAGTCTTCTGAAAATTGTTAGAGAAATGCATCTTATTTGGTATTTAAAACATAACATGAATATTATGTTGAGATCTTTTTAAATTCCTCTTGGCTTACTAAAAAACTTAAAATATGAATGTGTGATTACCAAGGTGCACTTCATTTGCCAAGCACCTGTACTTAAATTATCCTTGATATTCACAAAATTTTGTTTAATATTCTATTTATTTAGGTTGTTAATTCTGTGTTTATTAAGTTATTTTCATCATTTGGTGGTCTTACATTTCCTGGGTTTAGTTTCCTAATTGTTCTAAAAAGTTGTTAAATCTAGTTTAATAATCTAATACTCTTTTATAAATATTGTAGTTTATTTATATACACTATATCACATCATATATGTATAATTTTAATTTGTATTTACGAAAGTAATTTTTTCTACAATTGCTTTTAAAAAGCTAATACTACAAATTGTGATTTGTTTTGTTCCTAGTCTTTGAGTTTTCATTGAAACAGTGTTCATTTGAACTATTGTATAACAGACATTAATGGATAGACAAATCATGCAAAAGTTGTTTTGTGTATAACGTTTTTGAACTGTGACATCACTGGCTTTCATTTTGAAAATGAGTGGTGGTATGAAGTCATTTGGGATGTTAATGTTACTATAAGCCCATTAAAGCAAGTTATTGTTTTAATAAACTCTGCGCATGAGAGTTAAATTGAACATCGGTACATTATGGTGTATATATAACGTAAAGTCTTGTAGTAGGGAAAAAGCTCTAGATTCCCCTTTCTTTATTCTTGGTTTCAAAGTCAAGAAAGTAATAAATCAGAGAAAAGACACTAAGGAATGTAATCCTAGTACGTAGTGTTAGACATTACAGTTACTATTTAATGATAATTAATACTGAATACTAATTAATGATAAGTTTCTAATTTAAGCTGTTGAGGATTTACCGAAAAACTCTGTCCTAGGCCGCAGGAATTGTCGTGGATATGATAAGATCTAAAAAAATGGCAGGGCGTGCAGTACTCCTTGCTGGACCTCCAGGGACAGGCAAAACAGCAATCGCCTTGGCTATTGCTCAAGAACTTGGAAATAAGGTGATACTTGTTCACGGTTATGTGTATTAATTTTAAGTTTTGTTCAAATGTAATAATGTGTAGCAATGGAACATTCCAATAGGTTCCATTTTGTCCGATGGTTGGCTCTGAAGTTTTTAGTACTGAAATTAAGAAGACGGAAGTACTAATGGAAAACTTTCGTCGAGCAATTGGTTTGAGAATAAAAGAGACAAAAGAAGTATATGAAGGAGAAGTTACAGAACTGACTCCTTCTGAAACTGAAAATCCCATGGGTGGTATGTAAATATATTTAATGATTTTCGCTATGTAGAAACAGGATTGATTCAAATTAAAATATCTGTGCATTTTTTCTTGAGCTCTATTGGGTGTTAGTCAGGAATTTAGTTATTTTGCCAACATGACCATCTTCTAGTAATCATTAGGGATTTTGGAGCTCAAGGGAACAGGCACTTTTTTTCTGCCCGTGCATCACAAAGTTTTTAATAGTTTTAAATAAAAATTATTTTTTCCCTCAATGTGTTATTCAGGTTATGGGAAGACTGTCAGTCATGTAATAATTGGTCTAAAGACTGCAAAAGGGACAAAACAACTCAAGCTTGATCCTTCAATTTATGAATCATTGCAGAAGGAAAAAGTAGAAGTTGGAGATGTGATATATATAGAAGCAAATAGTGGAGCTGTTAAAAGGCAAGGCCGAAGTGATACATTTGCCACAGAATTTGATCTTGAGGTGAGATGATGAATTTATTAAAATTTAATATTGTTTTTGGTTTTGTGTGAAACATGTTATATTGTACAGGCAGAAGAATATGTTCCTCTTCCGAAAGGTGATGTTCACAAAAAAAAGGAAGTTATTCAAGATGTTACTCTACATGACCTAGATGTTGCCAATGCACGTCCGCAAGGAGGTCAAGATATTTTATCAATGATGGGCCAGCTAATGAAACCCAAGAAAACAGAAATCACAGGTAAAGTTATGAATGCAAATTCTGTTTCTGTGTTATTAATGCAAATAGCCTGATAATAATCTGATAAACATTCGTTTTTATTCCAGATAAACTCAGAAAAGAAATCAACAAAGTTGTTAACCGCTATATTGATCAGGGGATTGCTGAACTTGTACCTGGAGTTTTGTTTATTGATGAGGTGCATATGTTAGACATCGAAACATTCACTTACTTGCATCGTGCTTTAGAAAGCGCAATTGCTCCAATTGTTATATTTGCTACCAATCGAGGAAGGTGCAGCATCCGTGGAACAGAAGATATTGTTTCACCTCACGGTATCCCCCTTGACCTTTTGGACAGGTTACTAATCATACGCACATTACCATATTCTCGTCCAGAGATGGAGCAAATTCTTCGTCTTCGGGCCACGACTGAAGGTATTCAAGTCGATGAGGAAGCTTTGTCTCATCTCAGTGAAATAGGCACACGAACTACTCTCAGGTAAGCAAACTTGTTGAAAACCTTTTTTTTTTCTCCCTTCTATGAAATTCAGGTGAAACTTTGCTACAATAGTATTTGAAATAAATTACAAATGAATGATCAAATTATGAATTATGAAATTATTTAACAAATAACCTAGTGCAATTGCTTACATTTAGCGGAAACACGTAGTCTGCTTATTGTGTTGGTATTTCCATTTGACACATATCAGGATAGAGGTCAGCAAGCACTGCTTGGGGGAAATGCACAACTAAGACCTGAAGTCTACACATCTACTTAACGTCATGATAGAAAGTAAATGGATATTGAAAATTGCAGATTAATGCTGAGTCCTTTCTTTAACACTTGCAGTGGAGGTTTTAGTGACATTAGTTGATATTTCAAATTTGACCTTCAGTTCTAAAGCAGAAGTAAAAGAACAAGCACAAGGTAAACTCAATATTAAAATTATTAGCAAAGTTAATGACTCCTGAGTAAAGCATACTATCCCAGAGAACACCAGAAATTAAAATAACATTCTGTAACACTATACAAAACCCCTACACAATGTCACTACTGTATGTCAAATTATGCCGAGGTTGTTGATATTTTGACTTCAATTTGGAGGCATTCTCAGGAACAGACTTCGTGTTGGAATTTCAGCCCTATTGATTCCAACATGAAATCTTTTTATTTCGCATAGTGTGAGTTTACATCGAGTATCATTGCATTCTAAATTTGTAAATTGTTTTCTATTTCATGAAGTGCTGGTTTGAAATTCTGTCAATGGAGTGGTAAATATTCATTCTATTAGGATGTAGGATAGTTAATAAGGCCTATAAAAAATAATTGCTCCCTTTTCATGCTCTATACCTTGTTTATCTCTCTACCCTCTAAATCAGGGGTTTTCAACCTGGGTTCCGAAACTGTTATTTGCTCAAGTAAAACGCATGTAAAATGGTATTCATCTGTAGCGAGATAGTGGACTGTCTTAATAAAACGACATTAATATAACGTTTCAGAAAGAATTACTGTATAATTAATATAAATTGGATATAAAATTCTTTCTATTTATTTAAAATTTGTTGCTCTCAATTTTCTTGAAAATAAATAAATCCTTATACTCTTCCTCACTATTCATTCTCTTATCAAGATTAAATGAAGATTCTAGAATAATTTTGCTGATTTCAGTACAAAGAAACTGATAATTTATTTTGTCAGCTACAAACGTAAGCTCGAAGGGTTCCTAAAATGTAAAAGGTTGAAGACTCCTGCTCCAAAGCAATTGATACATTGATTTAGTTCTGAGTAATATGATCCTTAAAGGTGATATTGCTTTTTAGGTATGCTGTACAGCTACTTACTCCTGCATCTCTTACTGCCAAAATTAATGGCCGTAATGCCATTGCAAAGGAAGATATTCAGGAAGTTGGTGACCTCTTCCTGGATGCAAAGGCATCAGCAAAAATATTGAGTCAGAATAAAGAGAAGTATATGAAATAATTAAAACAAATTTGATGGTACCTCATATTTAAGATCCCTCTCTTTATTAATCTGAGTATTTAGGAGAAAATGTAATACAAAACTGAAGAATATATACATTGTATCATTTTTGTTGAAGTTTGTAAAAACACAAGTCACAGATGTGAGCTTTGCTTTACCACACTTAAGCACAGACTCAAATCAAAGTAGAATTAACTACTATGCTGAGGAAATTTGTATTACATGGAATATGGAAACAATGTAATGTGTACTTTTCTGCTTAGTAAAGCTTTCAACAAAATTAATTTCGATACTTTTTCTTGTACTTCTATAGTTCCGATAATGCAAGTTTGAATTAGATGGAATGGAATGCAGATGCAACTTTCAGCATGAGAATCAAAATTTTAGTCTTGGAGGTTGAATTTTAAAATTGCAAGTTTCGTTCACATGAATCCTGTGAAGGCTTTTATCTCAAATCAAATTTTTTTCAGGGTGGAGAAAATTGATGTGTACCAGTTTCTTAATGCCAATTTCTTGGATTTGGTGATATAGGAAATTGTAAAGTCAGTCCAATTTATGTACTTCAACTGGCCTATTATGAGCTTAAGGAATTAATAGTATCACACTTCAGTCTGTTGTGGGAAAGATGTCCATGCCCTTACTAACTTCCTGACTTTGGTCGTATGGAATCCACTGCATTCCCAATTATATAATAAATATACTGTGCTCATTGCTTGCAATTGTCCAAGCACATTTCTATAAGGCATAATGTTGAATGTAGTACATCAACTTTGAATTATTTTTTAAGTACAAAAAGTTCTGTGAATTTTAAAGACCTTCGTTACTATCCTTGATGTACCTAGATATTTAGAAGGATATGGTAAAGGATAGGAATAGTAAACTACTACTTTCATCTGGACACATTTCGTTTAGTGTCGCTCACTCTTATAAAATTTACTCTCCACACTTCATATACATTCAATATCTTCAGACCCAACGCCTTCAGTGTTTCTCATTGATGGTTGTCATGCTTCAGTAATTTGTCAAATAATATTTAATAACAAAAAGATATCAAACAACTCATTCACACTTCAAAAAACAGAATTTTTTCACAATAAATATATATAATGTACACTATATGACTGCATCATCAAGAATATCAATTTTTATAAAGTGTGATGCGATAATAGTGCAATTTTACATAACAAATGTATTTGATTTTGGTTCACTCCTACAGCCACATCAACTAAAAATCAAGTGACTGAATTTCACATTTATGCATTCACTACTAAATTCTCACAAGCGTGTTACAATATTTTATCAAATAATATGAACTACGTTACAAATTTTATTATAACCCCTTTCTATCCCCCAAATACAGATAAAGTACTTTCCCCAAAGTACTTCACAGAAATAGGAATGAAGTTAAATTTCACGAAGATTACAAAAATCGTAAAAACCATTTGAAAAATGATCACGAGTTCGAGTGGGTGAACCTCAACATGAGGCTCATTTTTGCAATTCAGAGCAAAATTAAAAATAATAATTTCCTGGGTTAAAACAATAATGTGCTCATTCCTCCCATTTCACTCTGCTCCTTAACAAAAATCTCGAAGTACTGGTAGATAATCGTAACAGCAAGCAGGATACCTGTGCCAGAACCAATAGCACCAAGGAAGTCAGCAAGAACTGACAGTGCACCAATGCACAAACCTCCAAAGGCAGCTGCTGTGGGGATGTATCTGTTCAGTTCACGGATCATGGAATTATCCCGATGGCCTCGCATCACCATCTGCTGTTCCTTCAACTGTTTGGCAACCTGTTAAAACAATAGTTTTGTTTTGTTTACAGATGAACACTATTTTCACAAAATATCAAGTCATAATTTTCATTAACTGCCTTCATCAAACCAGAATCATATTGGTCAGCAGATATCCTGAAATGTTATCATACTTTGGTAAAACATTTAAATATTTTTCATTAAAAAACAACATGGAAGTATCATTGAATTGTTTAGAATAACACTCCTGTATTCCCTTTTCTCAAGCAATTACCTCAAGGGTGGTTATCAGTTACTAAAAATAATGATTTAAATAAGAGTTTTTAAAATGTAAACCCAAACTAAATTAGAATGTGCAAATTATTTTTTTTTCTTTAATATTAAAAAAAAAATTAAATGGTCAGTAGGAGGGTGCTACCCCACACTAAACTAGTTCACATATATGGAGGGTTTCACTAAAATAACCTGGAAACCATAGATCAGTAAAACTAATAAAATTTGTGACCAAAAGCAGTTTCAATTCCACTTCACTTGACTTTTTACTGGAACTTTTTTTAGATCAACAGATTGAAAAGAATCACGTTCATTGTAGTGATCAAGTATGAATGCCATGAAAAAAAAAAATTAGAGAAAGAAAAATGAACATTGTAAAACAACCTTTATTAGCATCTTCAGCTAATATGAACTTTCTTTCAGACTTGCACTTGTCCGATAAAAAATAGAATTTGCTCGGAACAGAATAAGCAGCAAAATTGGTGTTCCTTCATAAACAATTACATAGTTCATAGAAGCTATTATAGTTCGCTGTTTATAAATAAATAAATTTTTTACATGTTATAATTTACAATACTTTTCTTTATCACCTTCAAATTTTTAACCATTCTTTGTAAAATTTACAATAAATTATATTTTTTATTTAAATCATGATATAAATCAAATTATTTCAACCATCGATTTGAACTGAAAGATGCAGACATTTATATCTGGTTTCTTTCCCCACAAATAGGTCTTGGCTGCCGCTGCTCTTGAAACTTATAACTTCAACATATGTCTTAAGAGCTCAGCCCTCCAGATTTATCAAAATCACCTCCGTAACATTACAAAACCTCCTTCAGATAGGATTACTGTTCCATTAAGAAACAAAAATCTAGACTGCTCTGCAGGTTATTTATTTAGAACACTGAGTTTCAAGTTTTGTTAGCAAACTCTTGAAGAAGATTTTATACACTTATTTATAATAATACATAATTCTGTACGGACTGTCCCACAAATTCATACAAGTTTGTAACAAATCTATCCCCTCACATTTGCATATGCACTGTGAACCCTGCAAAAACATCACCCCGACACCAAAGTTCAAAAATTTAAATGGAAACAAAATAATTAACATACTAGAAGTACTTTATCTCGGTAAAATTTTTATTTGAGACTCGTGTAATGAAAAAAAGATATTTTGTTGTGTTGGTATTAATATAATTATAACTGCTTGTCCTTTCACATAATAGAGAAAAATTTTGGCAAATAAGAAAAAGAAAAATAAGTAAACTTCAAATCTGGTGGTATTTCCATAAATTTCCAAACTGAAGAAACCCCTGTCCATCACACTCAACTCGAAGCTTTAAATTTTGGAGGTACTTCAAATGTAGCCCTGCGGACATTTCCACAATTTTCTTAAAAATTGCAAGAATAGAGTAGTGTACAGTTATGAAGGTGAGATAGGTCCAATTTTCAGGGTGAACTCAGTTTTTCGAAAATTGCAAGTTTGAATTTTTTTGGCGTCTTCCTACAACTACAAAATTTTAGATGGAGATTTTAGTTTCAATGAAATATGTTTTTTATATTTATTTCATTAAGGTCAGGTATATATTTTGTCAAAATTTAGAAGTTTCCACACAATATGTAAATATTATAAAGTTACAAAAACAAGATTTTCTTAAAAACCGCTCTTAATTTTTTCTTTAAACTTGGGGTAAGGTTAATGCTTAACGTACCCTATAAGACGACAAACACAATTTTGTCTATTCAATTGTTTTCTCAAATATTACAAAAATGTTACTTTTTACTTTTCCTCTCATGACGTTAAGTTACATTAACGCATATTTGATCACATAATTGTATTTATGTGCACATGTGCTGCACCATCAGAAACAATTTTCTAACAAAATTGCTCAAATTTTTCTTCTTCAAACTTATCAAAGTAATAGTGCTAATTGCACTGCTTAATATGATGTAAAGTTCATTTTTCTCAATTCTTTGGTTTTTCAAGTGGTAAATTCAAAACTAAAAATGGTTTTGACTTTTTCAACGAAAATTTGCATTTCTTCTATATAAATCTGAAAATAACACTTCATATCTGTTATTGGGTACCAAAAAATGTGCTGATAGCAGATGGAAAAAGTCCGGAACAACCGAAAAGCTAGCGGAGACTAAAGCGATTAGGAATCAAATATGAGAACGCCTGCCATTCTATAGCACTCCTAATTTTTCGAACTTGTTTCTCATTGACTTTGGCAACAGCTATTTATAAATAAAAGGGACAGTGCTTATTTGAGCCACAAATAAAAGCAAAAGCTATGCAAACAATATTGCTGGAATTTTCACACTGTGTTCTTATTAATAATGGGAGTGTTTAAAGAATGGTTTGAATTAAATCTGACATTTGGAGGCATTGTTGATGATGATTTATTCGCTTATGACACCAGAAGCACCCCCGAACTCTACACAACCTTCCGCTTAGTCAAGGACTAAGCACATCTTCACTGCATACAAGTAATCGGCCTCTGCGATTGTGAAATATCAGGCAGAATTAGTACTTGAATCTTGGATAAGCAATTCAAATTTCTCCAAAATAAGTGTCATAGTGAACACATGCCCAAACCATGACATAGAACAAACCTACACTTGCGAAAAAGTTATCTATTAGAATTTTTGCATAATGTAGTGATTAACAATCATGTGACCAGTAGTGTGTGACATGTAATACACTGCAATAGTGAAGCATTGTGGGGTCCACTAGTACTGTATAACATCATCTGAAATGATATTTTGAGATTATGTAATTGTAACGTATTAGCCAGCGTGCCTCGTGGCATCTATTTGGGGACGCTTGGTATAGGATTAGCCTCGCCACAGGAAGGAGAGAAGGGTTTTTCCGTAAAGGCAAGAACGCGGAAACGGGAGACACAAGGCTTTGGCGTCTTCCGACTTATGGAAACCCTTCACTGTTATAACAAGCGGGGGCGGTGGCGTGACGTAGTAGGTCACGAAGTCCTCGCCTATATAACAGAGTGTACAGAGTGGGGGTTCTGGAGACAGTGGGAGAACCTCGTGCGTGTGCACAAAACTTGGCGCCACGACGGTGCATATGCGAGCCAGGCTCGCGAGGCTCGAGTCACTAGTTGACGAAGCCTGCGGACTTTAGGTCCTTGGGTGACTGCGGTCACAGGGGAGCGATGCTGTGTGCGTGCTCCGAGGTGAAGAGTGGTTGAGTGCCACGATTCACGCCGATTCTCAATCGGATAAGATCGCTCCTGGGATCGAGGCAAACCAGCTGTTGGTGCGCCAGAACGGACTTTGTGTCCCAGCGTGACATCCGGTCACGGAAGCTAGGCTTTGTGCGCGCTTCAAAAGTAGGAGTGGCGAATGCCACAATCGAAACCATCTTCAATCTGGTTTGGATCGCTCCCGCGATCAGGGGATAGTAGGTCTATCAGAGCTAGGGTGTAAGTAGATTATTAAGTGTATATATTTGTTTTGTTTTCTTGTTAATAAATATATTTATTATATGAAAGCTCTGTGTCTGGTCGTTGTGAGTATCCATGACGTCACAGTAATAATAAAAACATTTTATGAAACATTTTGATCAGAAATCAGTCATGAAACAATTCTCCCACCTTCAAAACATTTATAACTTAATTTCTTCCAAAAGTTTGAAAAATTTCATCTCACATCAGTAGAAAATATTACACATTTGCTGCTTACATGGGATTTTATTTAAAAGAAATATGAATATCATAATTCATAAAAATCTTTCTAGAGCATGATTAAACAATTGGATGACAGTGTTGGAAGATCTATTTTTACCTAAAGCAATAGTTTTTTTTCATCCCTGTGCAAGTTATACTAAATCCAGAGACATTAAAAATCTATAATTTTGTTAAACTGTATTGTTCATATTTTCCTCTTGTTTTTCACTTATTAGATCTGTTCACTTCAAAGAATTTCTGTGCAATTTTTTATAATATGTCCAAGCAGTTTTAGCCTTGGAAACACCATGTGAACCGAGTTTGGCATCTTTTCATAATGTTTCTTACACCTTTATCATTCTGCATATAAAAATATTTTTAAATCACATTCTATCCTTGCATTAATGAAGATCTCTATTTCAAATTATGTTTTTCATCAGTGTTTCCACCCATTAAATAATGAAAAGAAAATTTTAAAAAAATTTTCTAAAAATAATGAAAAAAATTAAAAAAAATAATGAAAAGAAAATTTTTCTTGGCAGCAACAAAGGGCAGACAAGATAATAATGTGTCAAAGATTAAATTAACATAAGTCATTAAATTCCATTTACCATCAATTCAGAGATCTTATCAGTTATCAAATTCAAAGAAAGCAGCAAAGTAATACCCAACTATTTAATTTCAATTTAAGGTTGTAAATGAAAGGATTGAATTTTTGTGTAATTTCTGCAACTGTTTCAACTCAAAGCTAACTGGCCCATCATGAAAGTAGTTAGAATTTTTGTGCATGCTGGAAGTTTCTCATCTTCTCAGATCACTTTAATTATTTTTTTGTACAAACAAATATAGGGGGTTTGAATGTCTAACATATGATGAAAATAAAACTTTTGATGTAATATAAACCAACTTTACAATAATAGAAATGCATACTTAGTAATTATCACCAACTTAATTGAGTTGTAGATATCACTTATCTCAGCACTATCTTTGTCCTTCAGTTAACCAAGATAACTAAAATCATTACAACTTCATATGCTGTATAATACTTGTGTGCTAAAAGATTATGAAAAAAGGCTGAACAACACCAGCAGTCTCTATGAATGAAATCGCTTGAATTCTTAAAAATCAATAATGCGAACATCAAAGTTTTAAAATGCAATTTCATGAAGTAAAGCAAGAAACTAAGAACAAGTGATTTACATTTTGTAAAAAAGGAAGTTTTAAACAAGATTTCAAAGATGAAAATCTATCAATACTGAAACTCACATCTTTAGCCGAAGATCCAGACACATCAATCCAAGTCTTGGAGAAAAATGCACATGAACCCAGCATGAATACTATGTACAGCACTGCATGAACAGGATCCTCCAGAATGTGGCCAATGTTCTCAGGGGGAGAGAGGTAGTAACACAGGCCACCAACTGGGTAGGCACGAGCAGGGCCACCACCTCCCACATCCGCCCACACGCCCAAGAGGTTCACAAAGAAGTTTCCAGTAAACTTCACAGCTAGCATCTACAAGCATTTGTGATGGTTAATGAATTCAAAATTATTTTGAATTAACTCAGTAACACAAATATTTACAGTAATTACTGTACCTGTGAAATAACATACAAGTTGGACACAAGAGCAGACTGCAAGATAATGGGAATGTTTGAAGTATAAAACAGTTTAATGGGGTAGCTGCTGTACTGGCCTCGGTAACGGGCTGATTTTATGGGTAAATCGACTCTGAATCCCTGAAAAAGAACAATTTGTGAGTAAAAATACAGCATGCAAGTAGTGAATAAATAAAATCAGTAGATAACTCACCTGAAAATATATGACAATGGCAAAAACTAGGACAGTTGCAAGCAAATTCATTAGATTGGGCAAATTTTGGCGGTAAAAGGCCTCTCTTAAAGCACGAACTTTATCTTGACGAGTGGCCAACAGATGAAATAAAGCAATTACAGCTCCCTCGAATTCAGTTCCTCTTCCTACAATAAGAATACAAAAATTAATTTTCTTCTAATCCACCCAATAGTAACAATGTGAACAAACGTTAACAATAATATAACACTGATAAAAAAATATTATAGAGAGCAAACGTTCGTTTACACTCTAGAAGTTTGTTTTCACCTACACTATCTAGTCCCACAAATCCCTCAGCCCATTTAGAAATAATACTTGGAGATGAAATCATAATATTCATTCCGGCTAAATAAATGAATATCCCTTGAGAATCGAGCAAAAAGAGACAAGAAACAGAAGAAATACTTGCCTGTGTTGACTGTTGCAGGACTAAAGGCCTTCCACACAATAGTTTCACAAATGTTTGTAGCAATAAACAAGGAAATACCCGATCCTAAGCCATAACCTTTCTGCAGGAGTTCATCAAGTAGCAAAACTATGAGTCCTGCCACAAACAATTGAATGATGATAAGAAGACATACACCAGCTCCAATTTCTGATGGGTCACCATACATGCCAGTCATTACGTAGACGATTGCTTGGCCAACAGTAATGACCATGCCAAACACTGCAGAAAAAAAAAATGAAATTCTATATTAAAACTGAAAGACAAAAAAAAAAAAAATTTAAAAGTACTTACATTTCTGAGCTCCATTGAATAAAGCACGATCCTTAGGAGTGTCACCTACTTCAATGATTTTGGCACCAGCAAGTAGTTGCATAATCAAGCCAGATGTGACAATTGGAGAAATTCCCAGTTCCATGAGAGTTCCTCTATTTGAAGCAAGGATAACACGAATCCAATAAAAAGGGTCTGCTGAGTCTGAACTCATGATGCCAAAAAGAGGAATCTGAAAATCATTATTACATTATTAATGGATCAAAGATTGTGTGGTACACATCAACTTCACTTGCAAAATACTAACCTGACAACATACTAAAAATATGAATAAAGTAATTGCAGTCCATAGTACTTTTTCTCTGAATTGGATCTGTAAAGAACATCAAAAAGTTTTGTTTTTTTCAAAAGGCACTTCATTTATTAACATATGCAACATGTTCTCATGACAAAAAATCATTAAATACCTTTCTTTCTGGTTTTGCTATTTCTGGTAGAATACTGCAGAAGGGTTTAATAACCTCCAGGAACTTGACTGAAATGAAAAACAAGGATTTATTTTAACTCTTAATTCTGAGAAACTACACACCTGGTGGAACACTTCCAACCTACTTTCACATTTTTGCAGCTGAACTAAACTCACAATATTATTTCAAATGGTAATACAGACACGTTAATAATATATTTCTCGAAATTCGCCAGATATTGGCATACAACTACCCACAATATGACATATTAGCGTTTCAAGTAGGAATACCACAGATCCATACCTTCGATTACAATTTCCAGAATTACAATACGTACAGTGATCTGTGCCTAAAAGTACTTACTCCCCATCTTGATGGTATTTTCCTAGAAGGGCGCAACAGATTTAAACCAGTGGAAACAATCAGCAGCCAAAATTCTTCAAGCTCGTTCCACGAGCACCGCACTACATACGCTCAAAGCATTACACGTCTACAGAGAAATGGACAGATAGAACATTGGGCAGATCACGTGACTGGTGACGTCGACAGCCTTTTCACCTATTGCAGCTTTCCTTGCTGGTCCCCGTAGGTTCCACGTTATGCCCCTCAAGCCGAAGTAGGATGTCTGTGTAGTACCGTTAGAAAGTACGAGAGAGGGGGTTTTCCGGATGACGTGAAAACATCCGGTTCCACATATGCATGTTCACAGCCTTCTAAACGTGTTACTGGGTTTCATTAAATTTTATGGAATATGGAAGTTTATACAGCATCCCTATTTGACTTTTGCAATTTCTTAGGACAACTCTCAGCCTGGTCGCCTAGAACGCCTTGAAGGCCTGAAGTCATCTGGCGGACTGTCATCTGCTGTCCTTGCTGTCAGCGTCTGTGGCGACAGCAGTTCGTTTGATTTGTTATCATTCTTCGCTGCCAAAAAGTTTCAATTGTGTATTAATTTTTGTGCTGAGAAAGTGACTTATCGAAGCAGTTGTGCCTCGTTCTCAAGAACTTGGAAGGAGGGAATTAGTTACATTGATTGTATGTCCTGAGTCTGTATAGCAGACTCCTAAATCCAGCATCCTGGAGGCGATGAGCTATACTGAAAAACACGAAAATATTTCAAAGGATGATTGGATGGCGCGACTGGAATCTAGACACATTGCTCGAGCAGATATGAATAAGCTTATAATGAACTATCTTGTTACAGGTATTGTCATGAAATTGTGTGATTATTTGTATGTGTTGCTTCTTTGTAATCCTATGGTTGGCTGTCAACTTTTGTGTTTGTAAAGAGATGGCTCATTTTCACTCAAAACAAGGAATGCATTTTGTGCTAGATGATTCTGACAGATGTGAAAGTAGTGACTTAAGTATTTGTTCTTGTTGAAAGGATCCATGCCGTAGCTTATGAAGCTCCCTTAATTAAACTTGAATGGCATTGCACTCCCTGCTATCTTTCCTTTGTTCTTTAGAGTCACAGACCATTTACAATTGTCATGACATTATATACTAACCCATAACAACATAGCAAAATGACTGATGATGGTAATAACGATAAATAACAACAAAGAAATTACTATCTAACATTGACTCTAAGAAGAAGCATATCAATATTAATGTTGACTGTGTTTGGTGGGTAGTCAAGTATTCCCAAGCTCTCCCAGGAAGAGAAAGTTTTTGACCAGGATTTCTACTGCAGTACTTGTAATCTGATAATGTAACATATATAGGCATGGTATATGTAAGAGTGATAAGCAAAAATTCACTCAGAGCCGAGTGAAAGAAATGTGTTTCCAGTTACTAATATTTCTTCATTTGATGCCCTTTTCATATATAGTTCAAGGGATCATTTCATTTGAATATAACAATTGTTACATTATATCTTTTCTCTGATTTGTAAAACAAAAATTCCATATCCTTCAAATGAATTGTGAAAAAAGTTGGTACAAGATTTATAAAAAAGACATGTTATATAAACATTATAATCATACGTTGTAAGTGGTATTAATTGCAATACATTGAGATTAATAAGAAAGTCTGAAAATTAAATTGAAGTTAATGAAATAAAAAACAGCAGTAGTGATGGTAGATGAATAGACAATGGCAAGAACAAGTAAGAAAAACAAAACATGATGTCTTCCCAAAACAGATCTTGAAATTAGACCAAGAGAAGGAGAGATTCAAGCAGGCCAAGGAAAATATGGGAGGACCATGAATACGCCAGCTGTGACTAATGGAATTCTGGATTCAAAGGAACTTTGAACTTTTAAGGATTATGCTCCTTGGCCTTACCATTAAAAATCCATAAAGATATATCAAAATATTGAAGAGGCCGTGATAGCAATATTAAATAATGCTTTTCCGTAGCAAGGGTATGAGTTGTAAGAAGGGGAAAAAAATAATCTTGCATTCTACTTTGAATCAGAGTACACATTAGTCTTCCTGTTCTATGCTATGAATTTTTTTTCTGAGAAAGTTTGCAATTGTCATTGAAGCTGTGCAATTCTAAAATGCTGATCAAATATTCTAATAATTTATGATAAAATTGTATGTGAGCTGTGTGTTGTTCAGAGGGGTTGGTGGAGATTATTATGTTCGACTTGGTTTATATGGGTTAAATCTTGTGTTGAATTCATATAATGTGTCATCTTTATCTAGGTTATTTTAAAGATACATTAGGACTTAAGAAGATACAAGACAATTGAAGTAAATGCAGAATTTTAAAGTTTCATCAATATTTTCAAAATGCATTAATTTGTTTTATGATAATTTAATTAAATTTGGGACAGAGTTCTGGGTAATAATTTGCATGTTCTAATGATTTTTGTCATATTTTTAAACAATTTTAAAGCTGGCAACTTACTTTATACGAAGGGAATTTATCAAATAAATAGTAGTATTTTAGTAAACATAATTGAAACAGGATCTTTATTATAGTTTAGTTGGAATAGCTAGCTATACGGGTTATGTCTATTGTTTCCAGAAGGATTCAAGGAAGCAGCAGAAAAGTTTCAGCAAGAATCAGGAGTTGCACCATCAATGGAATTGGATTCCATGGATGAAAGAATAAGAATAAGGGATGCAATTCAGAGTGGTCGAATTCAAGAAGCCACTGCATTAGTGAATCAGTTACATCCTGAACTTCTGGATAACGATCGTTACTTATACTTCCATTTACAAGTAAGTACCGTAGGGAGAGGGGACAACCCTGTAAGGGGTTGGAGGTATTATGTCATAAGATTTGGAGAAGAATTTTTTTGAACTATTACTTGTTATTCTAATGCAGCGAGATTCTCATTTAGATTCTGAGATATTTGTTGATTGAATTTTCATGAACCTGTATAACAGTACCAGAAAGAATGAATGTTGCTCATGGCATTTCAACTTCATTTACCCTGTGTCTGTGCCACTCCAAAAAGATACAGTTTTTATTTTCTTTCTGTAGCAATTGCATCTTATTGAATTAATACGAGCAGGTAAAATTGAAGAAGCTTTGCATTTTGCCCAAGAACAACTCTCAGAAGCAGGCGAGTCTGACCCCAATGTTCTCAATGAACTAGAGCGAACATTAGCATTGTTAGCTTTTGAAGAACCCAATAAGTCTCCTTTTAGTGATCTGTTACATCCAACACATCGACAAAAGGCAAGTATTTTCAGAACATTTATATAATACATAAAAGTACATAAACTAGTATATCTACAAGGACAACACCCCTCTCTTTGCTTCTTACAGTTAAGGTTTATGTTTACGTTTGCTCAATACCACTGCCGTACAAAGGATTCCCTCCTTCCCATTCCTTTCAGTTTGAGCAGCACAAACTGCCTCTATGAGAGGCTTCCTTAGATCTGATCTTCACCTTTCCTTTTGATGAACTATTTCAGAGTTGTAGCCAATGTCCACATGCACATGCGATGCTTTTGGCTTTCTGGAAACCACACTGCACATTCACTATTGTTTGACAAAAAGTATGTAAATTGGGTCTAGAGGTTTTCTGGACTATTACAAGCTACCAACAACATTGTGTTTATGTCTCTCCTCATCCAAAACCAACCTAATTTTTTTCACTCATCTGTTAACTAATCAGGTGCAAAACTAGGGCCATTTAATTATGTGATGTCCTTTTTTAGGTTGCTAGTGAATTAAATGCTGCAATTCTTAAAATGGAAAATCGTGACCCAACCACCCCCAAACTGGCAAGTCTCTTGAAATTGATATTTTGGTCGCAAGAGGAACTAGACAAAAAGAAGATCAAATACCCCAAAATGACAGACCTGGCTGGTGCTGTGATTGAGAGCCCCAAGTGACAGCAGGCCGTGGCGCTGCCTGATGAGCCCATGGACACATCCGCCTTCTTCCAGGGCCAGTGAGGCAGCACACCCTGCAGTGATTATTGAACTATCCTCTCCAAGCAATTAATGCTGAAGAACTCTCCCTATGATGCATGTTTTGGTTTATACCTGCATAATGATGAGTTTTCCTAATTTCCAAATCTTGCAGTCTTTTATTAGTAAGATAGATCTTTCAGTTTTTGATAATTTTGTTTGGCATGTAGACCAATTACAAATAACTACTAGTTAAGGTATATTTCAATCGGCATGGATTTATCCTTGACCCTTTTTCTTTTTTCCTCAATATCAGTCTGTTTGTGTTTAAATAACATACAAGAAATAATGTTATTGCATGCCATGCACTTGCCGAAGTGTTTATAAATTCTCTTTAAACCAACTGGTGGATGGCAAAGTGAGTAATGTCTACCATGTGGAGTAGAATTGTAATTGTACCACTAATTTTTTATAAAGTTTGTAGAATACTCGCATGAAAAATAATTGAGAACTGTGGGTCAACATGTGATATATCACAATCTTGTAATGCTCAAGGCACCAAAATATATTTAACTAATTTCTCAACTGTGATTATATTCATTTAATATGAGTAATGCATGTTGCTCCAACTCATGTTCATGTTTGCCTTTTGACTTTATAAGATTCTGTATGAATAAAACGTGATGTGAAGTTAATGCATAATATTCTTATTCCTGCATTTGACATATTCCATTTCAAAGAACCGAGAAACAATATTTATCAAAAAACTATAATGACTGCCCAAAAAAATATCGTAGAACAATGACTAGCTTTGAGGGTGAATAGTAGAAATAATTTTTTTTAATATTCTGGATTGTGCACAGTTGCACTTCCACAATTTACTTTTACATGATTGCTGCAAATAAAATGTGGGGTTCATTTTGATTAATATGTTATTGCATTCACCTTTGAAACAGTCGCATTTGTGAAATGTGTTATGGAATTTATGTCCATCAAGAAATTCAACCTAGTGGCAGACTTTAATGAACAATTTGGAATTGTCAGTATTTGTTACTTCAACATTTTGACTTCATATTATAGTTTGTGTTCTTCATTGAAGTTCTATAGTGCTTTGGGAGTCAGATTTGTGAATGTGATTCAGATGTGGAAGGCATGGAGTTCATGTTTTTGAAGGTATAAGTACATCAAAAGATGCTGTAACTTGCTAAGTAAACTGAAGTATTAGAGTAATAAATCTAATTATGAAATACTACAATTATTTTTAAAAATATGTTAAGGAATCAATAAAGATGTGATACTTTTGTCTTATTCCAGTTGTAATTTGAAGGAAATATTTATAGAGATGAAGAATTAAGGAAGGAAGAAAAGCATATAATGCTTTCTCTTGCTTCAGAAATATATTTAATGTTGTAGATACATGAGTGTAGTCAAAAAATTTGTGCACGTTTTCCAGTAGAGAGAACTTATTTCTTTGTGTGATTGTCAAGATATTCTTAAGATATATTAATGAAGGTAAAATTTATACGAAAGATCAAAAACTTCAAATTTCACAACAATCTTCTGTTTTTGGTACAAATCATGAGAATCCAAAAAAAAAAGCCCACCTTTGGTTCCATATTTGTTTTTGATTTAAAGAACAGAAAAATAAATTTTATCTGAAGGAACAAAATGGGGTTCTGTTAACAAGTATTTAATTGCAGGAGGATTAACTCATGAGTATACTTGTACTGTTCACACATTGGTCATATGAAGTTAAAATAAGTTTCAGAAGGGTTAAACATACTGAGTACTTGTTTATTTGGGGGGGGGTATTTGTGAAATGTATTTGGAAAAACAAAAAAATATGCATGTCTCAAATTATAGCAATAAAATAATTTCTGGACATACTTTTGAAGGTCCATTGAATTTCTTGTCAATTCCTATTGAACTTTCAAATTTGAAAGACCATCCCAATCACGCTTCACCAAGTTGTGCCAGACCTGCTTTACAAACAGTATTTTGACATGATTAGACGTGAAAAAAACACAAGAGGTCTGCCCATTTTTTTTCACATATTTATTGCATAGTTGAATATCAACAAAACCATAAAAATATGCTGTATAACAATATAATGGTTATACTGTAGCAACAAATTTTGCTACATAAAATACAATAACAAATGTTAGTAAGAACAATCTTTTTCACCCTATGCCAAAACATTAGTCTCTTCAATGGCATAAAAGTATTTTCTTCGATGCTAGATTATGAGGCACTTCTTTTCAAAAAGAGAAAAGTAAATTTAAATAAGTAGTTGAAAGTATACATATTTATTGCAAAACTATCAACAAAAGTTTGTATATAAAATTGTTTTCTCCATAGGAAGTCAAACAGTCCACAAAAATGAAAGATTTGCAGTTTGGCATGATTTGTTTAAACACAATCAGCGACTTTTTGTTATTAGAACATAAATGCTTATCTTAAAAAAAATTAAAAAAAAAAGACAAGCCTAGCAAGCTTTTCATTTCGAAGGTAAGAAATGGGATACTCAGTTAAGCCTCGGGGAAAAAATTGTATTTTTTCACCAAACAAACAAATGAAGGTATTCATAGAGATTATAATACACAAAATAAATTTTCTTTGGTTTACAAGTTTCAAAATATACTGGATGCTTCAAGACTTCAGAAATTGTAATTACTCCAAAAACCAAAAAATTAACATGCACTGTAATTTTAAGACTCAATTACGACACAATTTCTCAATACTTTAAATTTGATTATTTGCATCTCTCACAAATAGACCCAAAACAAATCTTCACAATTTCCAAAGCATTCCAATTCCACTATACAATAAGTCATAAAAATTGGTGCAAAATCTTCTAAAGCTATATTTTACTCCTATCAGAGGTTCAGTTAACATGCTCTGATAGTGCCTACTCAACAAGTATCATTTAATTTGTAAAAAACTATTGTTTCATGCATGTTTACATCTTTGATAATGAGCCAAATCAATTACCACACATTACTGCATGTTTTATCATCTAAGTTGCAGCTACACAAACTTTCATAACTATATATGAAAATGCAGTTACATTAAATTTCATTAGCTGAAATTTTTTTACTATAAGAGCACCTATGAATGAGAATTACTTGAGATTTCTGTTAACAATGTCACTATAGTAGAGTCTTGAGAGACAAAAATAAATCAGTACCTACTAGAAACATGACTAAATTATATTTGAAATGCAACAATGCTAAGAAAAGAAAAAAATAAAAGACATGGGGAAAAACACAATAAAAGATCAGTTCATCACCTTCAACATCTCTTGTAGACCGAGATAACACAAGTAATACCATGGCACACCCTCTTTTTCATATGGTTTCTTAACTTCAAAATCTCTTTAGAGGCACTTTAAAGACAACTAATTTCTATATTGGCATACTTTCTTATACAAATTAACAAAAGTAAACATTCTAAAAAGGATTTAAATTGAAACATTGTGAACAACAAAATGCTAAGCTATGAACTCTTACCATACTGAAGATATTTGATGACAAAAACTGAACAAATATTAACAGCATTTTTTTGTAAAACCATGTGCTGTAAATAATGCCCTGTTAAATAAAAAAAATATTTATATATTCTGGCTCCAATCATTTTGATATACATTTCACTCCCCACACCACAGCTTGTTATGAAATAATACAGAGCAACACATTAGAATAACATGAAATAAGTTATTTGGCAGCAAAAAATATGTACATATTGTTTAATCTTTCATCCCAACCATGTGTTTAAAAGTTGAAAGACAAGTCATCAATTCAAAAATAAATGCACACATGGAATGAAATGAATTATAAATATTTCAGAATGGACTCATTAAATGGAAAGATACTGATTACAATGTAAAACAAGAGTAAAGATTTGAGATTCGTGCATTCATTTTTCTTTCACATTCATTCTGGTGTCTCCAAAATCATTTTAAAACATAATATAATACTGATTAAAACACACTTTGAGTAAAACTATAATACACGATTATAAAAAAAAATATACAGTACATGATAGTCTTCAAGTCTACCCAAGAATAATCCACATTGTACAATTCACTTAAGAGTAAGTAAAAGTTAAAAATATAAGTTCAAAAAAAAAAAAGAAAAAAGATCTTGGGACACTGCTTTCCATTCACACAAACATATATACAACCGTACAAAATAAATAATTAATGAGAAAAAAAATCTTCAATATATGAAGAGATTCAATCCTCCAATATAAAAATAAAAATTTATTACAATAACATATGTCAAGAAAAGTCTTCAACCATAATAACTATATATAATTCAATGTCTTAATATATTGAATTAATCCTCTAGTTTTAAACTGACTTAAACATTTGTTGAAAACATTTTACCTTTGCTAAAAAACATATGTCAAACTTTATTTTATTGCAAAGAATGTAATGTATTACATTCTGAAGAAAGAGCAACATTCTTCAGAAGTATTTTGTTTCTTATATCTCATAGTCAGGACCTAAAACATTTTTTTCCAAAGACCAGTAGGTAGTCAAAAAATTCAATTGACCATTGGAAAGAAATGCAATATACATGTTTAAGTTCATCAATCATTTCACATTGAAAATTTGAAGAAAAATTGTACAGATTAATTTAAATGAATGCAAAAAAAAACTCATTTACATTTTTACTGATGTGCAAAGGTACCAGTTATCAGGAAATGATAGTCTAAAAGACGACCTTACTCCAGGAATACATATGAAATCATATATGATATGAACTATGTATGAACAGTAAGGTAAAGAAAGGATCTCTTTTTATGAAAGAGAATTGGTTTCCTGTTTCAAGTTTGACAAGACAACAAACAAATTTAGAGCATTTTTCATATTATTAACTTCACTTACACTTAATGATATGTAAAAATAATAATTTTATTAATTTGTAGATAAAAACATGATGCATTCCAATGCATCCAAAATAGAGGTCAATATGCCATTACATAATGGAAGAGAGAAGAACAAAACAATACACTGACTTTGAACTGTGGGGCCTTTCAACTCCGTTGAAACTGGGGACACAACTATAGGGTGCAAGAATAAGGCACGCTAGTATTGTCAGATACAGCTATAGCTATAGTTTATGCTTGCCAACTTGGCACACTAAAAATCTGACGCCTTTTATGGGAAAAGTATGGAAGAAACTTAGTTCACAGCGTTTAAGACTTAATTCCTGCAAGATGAAGAGTAGAAGGTGTCATTGTAATTGTCTCTACCAGTTTATATGGGAGTTGAAAGTCCCTGTCCCATTTTCTTAATTTTATTTGCCACAGTTATTAATGCAATATGATACTTTACTTTCACAGCCATTTTAATCCAGTATCATGAAGTGTTAACCAACTTCCAACTAGTGAAGACCACTTGCTTCAAGATGCTCAATGAATCTATGCTTATCTGATTATTAGTATATGATCAAATGGGCTCATTTTCACAATCTATCAACCTTACTTTTCAAATGCACCATCAACACGTTTTAGAGTTGAGATTAATTTAATTCATTGTTGTGAGAAATATTCATATTAAAATGTTAAACATTAGTAAGACTATTGAAGGCACAGATCTTTAAAACTCTTTGATTCTGTAAAATCACAGATAAGTATAATATGACAAAGTGTTATGAGCTATCCTCATAACTCCGAACAAAACATGTACAATTGTTTAAATAAAATAGTTTCTTTTCCTCACATTCAGTTTTTTTTATTGCCTTCACAGGAAATTATATGCATAATGTATACTCTTTCATACACACACATACACACACAAACAAAACCTAAAGGTTTTAAAATAATCTACTTTGTTAAAGGTATAAATATGAGAACAAAAAATAAATAGCTTTGCAATGGCACCTAATTATCTTCAAATGCTATTTAAATTATTGCCAACTTGATCTCCAAATCTAACTGAAAGGAGCCCAATCCTTGAGCCGGTCACCTGAAAATAGACAAATTATTAAACATGAATTAGAACACTAAAAACTCAAATGACCATAATGAAAACCAATAATAACATTCCCGAAAATATGAAAACAAGGTAGTTTAATTTTTATTGAAGAATGGACTAGATCATATAAGAGAGTACATGAAACTTTTGTTGATCTTGTGAAAAAACAGACTTGATGCAACTAGATGTGGCACATCCATTTACAAAGAAATTAACAAACCCATCAGAGGAAACCTGGGATCGAATCTTCCACCACTCAGTCAATGGTATACTGGGCCATAAGTCATTTCGAACAGTCAGACACACCAACACCAGTGGAACACAATTTATAATAAAACCATGAATTATTTAATTGTTTAAACTTCAAATATATATCCTCAGAATCAAAATTTTCATCATATGACTCCTCTTCAAGAACGGAATGTGCATTTGAAGTATTAACATTGCTGTAACTTCTGGCTTAAATGCGTTTTTGATAATTTCTCACTATTCCATTTCTGCTATCAGTGAGTCAGAAGCAATTAACAGCCTACAAAGCACTTCTCTGTTAGTTTTCTCTGGACATTTTTCTAGAGAAACTTCCTCTATTTATGGGGGTTTAAAGGACTCTTCACCTACTGAGGTCTGACCCGATGGTGAAAGGCAGGAACTGTCGTAGAGGGCGAAGTCGACAAGAATGGCCAACATTTCTTAGTTTTACGCTCAGGCCTACCCACGACGCGCGAAATGTAGCAGTTCCATAGTGCTGGCTCATTCACGTCGCGATAGTAATTAAATATTCCCTTGCGAATAAACGCGCGGTGTTAGTGATACAAAAACACAGAGGTGTGAATTCTTCTTTAGGCATGCCTCTCTCGGGGCCGCCGGTGGCTGGCGGCTCGCCTCTCCCAATGCAGGAGGCCGCGACCGCGAAGGGCGCGCAGCTGCGGCTCCTGATTAGTTTGTTTGGGAAGATTGGAGAGTCTGATGCCAATTTTTGGGCGGAAGAGTTTCCAAGGGGGAGTGGGGTCACTTGGGGGGTTTCACGGGGTTAGGACATTAAGGTCCGGCAAAAGATTTCGCAATCTAATACCTAGAAGTTGAGGTAGCGATGTTCGAAGACCACATAGGGCCCCATTCAAGATATTTTATTCGACGACAAGGATAGTTAATGAGTCATTACGCTTTAGCTCCATAAGACTAATGGTGTATGCTGTTGATCAGTTGGAGAGAGGAGGGAGATGCACAGCCACACACATCACTACCGTAACGTACCACTCAGCATACGAAGGTCACTGGAGGAGAGACACCTGGTTTGTAGTCTGCGAGCACGTCACTTGAGGGATTTGTCAAACGTGAGCCCCAGGAACCTGGCAGATTCAGCGAATGGAAACTGATTTCCTTCCAAGCAAAGGACGGATTGCTATTCAAGTGGAATATCCTGCTGAAATGCACAAAAGTAGATTTAGTATAAGTTGAACCCTGTTGACATGTTCCATTCGTGGAGCTTCTAGAGAACCAGTAAGTTGCCTCTGGATAACATTGATGCTGCTGTACCAACAAAAGATGGCAAAATCATCCACAAACAGCAACACCTTTACAGATTCTCGCACGGGCAACGCTTACCACTTATGGCAATGGCCCAAAGAGTGACATTCAGAACCGATCCTTGAAGGATACCATCTTCTACGGGGTGACAGCTAGAAAGCAAGTCTCCAACGTGTACATGGAAGGGAATGTTCGAGAGGACGTTCTGGATGAATATTCCCCCTAAATCCCCAGGAGTACAGTTTGCAGAAAGCGGTACTTCCAAGTGGTTGTAGGTCTTTTCAATGTCGAATAATATGGCCACAAGATGTTGCCGCGAGACGATCGATGCAGAGATAGCCGTTGCCAACGCAGAGGGGTGGTCCAAGGTTGAACGGTTTCGTGTATGTGCCGTTTTGCTCCATTGGGAAAAAAGAGTTTTGAGAAACGGAAGCTACAAATGGAAGGAAAGCTAATTAACTGTGCCAAGTGAGACAATGTAACAGCAGAAACATGCTAGATGCACGGGCGGTTAGATGTCCGTATGGATGGACACAGGGCGAATGGATGCACAACCGACCGGATACATGGAAAGACAAGTTATACGAATGGATGTACGTATAGACCGTCGGAGGGAAGGTTGGATGGATGGACGTACGATCAGGCGAAACAAATGAAGGACCAACAGAACGAAAAACAGAAAAATGGACAGGCGGACAAACAGACCGGTCGGTCATAGATGGACGGACGGACGATCGGCCATACAGATGGACGGACGGACGGACGGACGGACGGACGATCGGCCATACAATGGACGGACGGACGATCGGCCATTACAGATGACCGAGCGGACGATCGGCCATACAATGGACAGACGGACGAGGTCGGCATACAGATGGACGGCGGACGATCGGCCATACAGATGGACGGACGGACGATCGGCCAGACAGCATGGACGGACGGACGATCGGTCGGTCGGCCATACAGACAGGACGATCGGGCGGTCGGGCCAACAACAGACGATCGTCGGTCGGCCATACAGACAGACGATCGGTTCGGTCGCCATTACAGACAGACCGATCGGTCGGTCGGCCCATACAGACAGACATCGGGGCGGTCGTCGGCCATACAGACAGGCGATCGGTCGTCGGCCATACAGACAGACGATCGCGCGGTCGCCATACAGACAAGACATGGTCGGTCGGCCATAAGACAAGACGATCGGTCGGTCGGCCATACAGACAGGGCGAGTTCGTCCGTCGGCCCTACAGACAGACGATCGCGGTCGGCCATACAGACAGACATCGGTCGGTTCGGCCATACAGGACAGACGAGCGGTCGGTATCGGCCATACAGACAGACGATCGGTCGGGTCGGCCATACAGACAGACGATCGGTCGGTCGGCCATACAGACAGACGATCGGTCGGTCGGCCATACGGACGGACGATCGGTCGGTCGGCCATACGGACGGACGATCGGTCGGTCGGTCATACGGACGGACGATCGGTCGGTCGGTCATACGGACGGACGATCGGTCGGTCATACGGACGGACGATCGGTCGGTCATACAGACGGACGGAGAGTCCGTCTTATAGAGGGGTGGACGGAGGTTGCTATTAGGAGATGGATGGGGTAATTCTAAACATATATTTCCGTAATACCAGGGCGATGACTTTCTGAAACACTGCAATTCTTTTTTCATATACGAAAAATACGTAAAGTACAACTCGGTTTTTTATTAATTGCAATGAGTCACAATGACCCATGGCACAACTTGCTTCACGCCGTTTTAAAATAACTCCAAGCAAAGGCGCTTTTGGCACAATTACTTGCGCAGCTGCGCGCGCCGCCACCCAAGAATTCCCCGACAGTCGCTCGCCTCCGAAATCACCCCTACGATCTTTGTGTTTGACAGTAGGTGATTGACTCCCGGAACAGACATATTAAGAGACTCGGGGGCTACTCGCTAGCTAATCCTTAAGGGGCTATAAACCATGAAGCTCGGGAGGGTCGCAGACGTGTATTGAGTCACGTAAGGCCCTAGATGGAGAACAATAAACAACCAATCACATGTTAGGTTGCAAAAATATGCGGTCCCCTTAAGCATATTGGATGATAGAATGTTCTGGAAACTTTTGAACAAGCCCCCCCCCCCCAAAAAAAAAGCTTTGCGCTACGCACGTGAGAGAGCTCGCGCATCTTGCGAAAGGGGTGGGGACGGGATCCAACGAACGATTGCTGATCTTCGCACGATCCTACTAGCCTTCACTCAGCATCGGAATTCATTCCGGATGCCGGGCTGGGACAATACGACCAACCTGAAATTATCCGTGAGGGTGTGCACCTGACTATTCGGCTGTAAAATACAAAACGCGGTCCAGGCGATGTGTGAAGACCTGCGACCCGCGCATCAAAACCGATTCTTCATTTCGCGGCCGGTCACGGATGATCTCCCGCCCAGCCTGATGTTGGACATCAGGCCGATTGCGCTCAGGACGATTAAGGCCTTTTCAACGGGTCCTCCGCTGCAGACGGCCGATATTGGACGTGAAATCCATTCGGGGTGAAGTAGTGACATCACAATTATCACCATCTAAGTGAATTCACGCCCATAATTATTATCAGCTTCGAGAAAGCTCAACACATAATTGTATGTGAGAGACAATTTATCCATAATGAACGTGTCCCCGCCATTTTGGCGGGTGGTAACACAAAGAAATATAGCCTGTGTATTACTTTTAGTCAGTAAACCAAATGCTATCCTTCGACCCAGGGAGCTCACCCCTGACATGCTGGAAACTGGATAGCAGGTAAGGCATGCGCTTCGCGCCCTTTAAATAAATTCAGCGCGTGCATCCCGCTGAATGAAAGTGACCGTCGCACCTTCAGTGTGACAGTAATTCCCTCCTTATGATAGTGTGACTCCCAGGTTGCATTACATAATACAATACTTGAAAATGGTAAACACAGAAGTTCTGTAATAAACGCAATATAAAAAGCCACGTTTTTAAGGTGTACCATAATTGAACTTCCATTAATGCCTATTAACAAAGATATAAATAAAGTACATTGGCATGAAAATTATTAGATACAACGTAGATATCTGCCGAATAATAAGATTCAATCCATTTCAAGACAGAGGAGTTAAAATGTCTTGACAGTTCTGTGTACTGGCAGTTTGTATATTGTGGTAGACTTCTTGAATCAAAACCACTACAAAATGTCCCAGAAACAACTTGCCCCATTACATACCTAAATTGAGAGATTTCCTAACAAAAATTTTGTCTTTACACCAATTATATAACAAGCAGAGTCCATATAACGAAATACATAAAGTCAGTGTGACAAAGATAGATAAGACATTCAATACTGCTCTTGCATTAAATAATAATGTTGCCCAAGACAGCACCTGTAAATTCTGTTACTGAAATTAACTTGTATTAGTATGTACAAAGACAAATCAAACACTTTTACTAGAAAAAATTGACTAATAATTTTCACACCTCTGTAGTTACTTTATTCTACAAATATGGTTAAATTTTGTACATGTAAAAATGTAGAGCGTATCTCATTTTATGTGTGTCACAATGTCATTTTATTTACATGAAAATAAATAAAGAATTTTGTTTTGATCAAAATGTAGTATACTGATATTAATATAAAGCATGAAATCTCAAAATTTAAAAAAATTAAAGAAATAAATCTGTTACTCACCAAAACTTTTAACTTTCCTGTTAATAGCTTTATAATTACGGTGTAACAGCATAGTATTTTTATCCATCTCTTCAGTATGTTCCAATGCTCTTTGTTCAAATAAACCTGTGCAAAGAATCAACAAAATTTACTTCAAATTTAAATAAAAAAGAAAAAATTTAGAAAAATGCTTAATTTTTTTGGTTGACACAGTTCTTTATTCTCCTCCCCACCCCCACCCTTCTTGTATGAAAAAAATCTATGAATTCCATTGCATGCTCACTTTTCCAAAAACACTGCATTCCATGCTCACTTTTCCATTATCTCTGTTCTTAAATACTACTGATATTAAGCACTGATAAACTAATTTGCAATTTTATTTACAATCTGCCCAATAGAAATCTCATCATCTCATACACTTTACTTTGCACATACACACTTGTTGTAGAAAAGGCACACAGATGTGTGAACGGTGCCAGAAATATATTCCAAGTCTAATAAATTGAATAAGGTAAAAATAAAATAAGTCTGCTCTAAACTGCTAAATGTTTAGTAATAATTTTCAAAGATCCCAAAAACATTAAAAACAAGATTACTGTATATCCTGCAAACATTAATAAAAAATATTATAAGGTCAAGTCATGTTTATATATTAAGTTAACATTAAGACTAAGAAAGAATTATTATGTTTGTTTTGTTGGTAGGAACTTGATGGCCATCTACAGAAACAGTACAGAAATAGAAAAATTCATTGTTGAACAAAATTAAGAAGAAAGCCGAAATGAATAAATCATGTCAGCCAACACACGTAATGTCACTGGCAAGTCATAACCAAATTTTTAGATTGTTTAATTTATTAGTAACAAAGATTCTCTAATAATAATTAAATTGTTCACCATCTGAACACACCTACGAGCGATATTTTCAGGCTCATGAGATAAGATAGAACCCTGACAAGGGTAAGTACGCTGATGCTCAGAAAATTAAATTAAAACTAGAGCTAGCCACTCCATTAATTACAAAGAAAGAGAGAGAGAAAATATTATAAATAGAAATTATTTTGATTCACTTCAATGGTAGGCCCAATATGAGGTCGTAAAATATAGTAAATAGTTTAAAATTAATAATATTGTAAAAATTATATGTATTTAAAAGAAGGAATCTTAAATTCATTTCAATACAGCAGAATCCAAACTCTGGACTTATGTGAGCCAAAAACTATTTTTTTGGTGAAGACCAAGATTAAATTAATAATAAATTAGAAAGTACCAAATTTCAACTTTTTATCACTAAAACTAAAATATTTTGACCGAAAGGTTTTATCAATCTAACAAATAAAGAAACTAACTGGACCAACATTATCATTCTATACTCAAGTATATTATTTAATAACAAGTAGAATACCTTTAGTTTCTGCCCCTTCATTTAAACGACTCTCCACAAAAGAGGAGAACATTGCAGTTTCTGAAAACCATTCCAAAAATAACTGAACAGAGTGCAGTGGTACAGCCTTGATGAAAGATTCTCTCTACAAAAAAATGTTCAATGAAATCATAAAGTGTAATAATAATCAAATTCAACTGATCAGTAGCTAAATAATATGAGTTTACCTCAAATACTTTCTTTCCATCTTGCTGTGTAACAACATGATTTGCATAATGACCACAAATTTCTACAAACATTCTAATAAAGGCTTCAGATATCATAACATTTCTGGCTGGTTCCATTTTTTGAGTAGTATTTTCAGCAAATTGTAAAGCCATTTTCAAACATTTCTTAAGACGAGATGGCAGAATGGTACTTTCATCACCCACACTTTGCACAATTTTAGGATCATCTAGGTCCACAATGATTCCCTAACAAAGAAACAATTAACATGATTCGAAGTGTGTTGCACTGCGATGCAAAAACTTAAATTTTAATAACAATGAAAACATTTACAATAAAGACTACTGAAACATCTACACACATTCACATTCCTATGCAAGGGACGAAGTTCGTAAGTAGAGGACTTTTACTAGGGTTATACTATTAAATAGAGGAACCAGGGGTACTAAGGGTAAGCTTTGTCAAAAAGGATGGAATGAAATTGAACTCCCATATTAATAATTCATTATAACTAGTGCCTGGATGTTTGAGGCCTAAAAATATTAGAAATATTCCAGCATTTATGACCTAAAAAATATGAAAATATGACCATTAATGACTTGAACATTTTCTTGGTGCATTTTCAAAACCATCAAAATCTTTTCAATGATTATATTATGAAGAAAATATAGTTTTAAAATCTAGCATTCACAATTCACCTCTTCTCCTTTGAAGACCCATCAAGGCAGTTCTACCTGTTAAAGTTATTTATAGAGGTGGTTGACTCTGGCAAAAATCGTAACAAAACTTAACACTTTCTTTGCATCTGGAGCTCTCTTCACTTTATTTTTCTCCTTCTATGTAGCTTACCCTCCTAATTTACATACATGTATATTTAAAGAAAAGACAGACAACAATTAGGTACAATAATTGTCAGAAATTAGATAACAATTAGGAGATGCAAAAAATCTGTCTGCGAAGACTGCAAGCAAGTATGCAAAAATTGGATAAAAAAGATAAAAAATTATAAAAAATGACAAAAAATACGAAAATTACTGGGAAAACATGACCATAATATGAAAAATTAATAGAAAATTACTAAAGGAATAAAAAAGCAAAATATGACTGACATGTGAAAATTGCATAATTTTAGTCATTGTAGAGAAAATGTTTAACTTATATTTTCCATCAAAATTACACAAAGAAAAAATATGACCTGTCATAAAGATCCAGGCCCTAATGATAACAAATATTATTTCTGTAATAATAGAACATTATTTCTTTAATAATAAATTTAAGTTTTTATTTTAATTTAAAATGTCTTCTTATTATCAAATCTTTTATATATTTTTTGTCACCTCCCAATTGAGAGGTGGGGTAAATGAGGCTCTTTGAAAAAACACACCTCACACCTTGTCTAAGATCGACCCTTTGGGTTTCCATTAGTCTCGTGACACCCAGAGATGTAAGAAGAGCTTTTTGGAAGGTTGGAATCTATACTCTTCAACATTTCAATTATGACGAGACATTTTTAACTAAAGAAAGTTGGAAATTATAGAAAATATTTAGGTTTTTACAACAAATACGATGCGTGCACGCCCCCACGCACGCACGCACGCACACACACACACACACACACACATTTACATATATACATATACATTTCATCACCAGGTCCCAACAATAAGAGTTTCTGTCAAAAATTCACCATTTTTCCCTGCAGTATGATTATAGTTTGTCTATACTGCATAAGTAATAACAAGAAAAAAAAAATGAAAATTAACTAAATTTTGACCTACTTTTCCCATAAAACATTTAGTTTTATGAACTGTTTTAATTTTGAAGGCTCAATCTTTCTCTAGCATTTACAGTTCTTCACACTAAATAACTTCATGATAACATTCTCTGCAAACAGAATAAATGACATAAACTTACCTCTTCCAGAGATACAGTCAAAGCCTTTCCCACCTTATCCTTCAAGACACCAATAATGAATGGGGTTGGTGCTTCACAAACTCCAATGTGAGCAGAAGGAAGAACAGGTATGAATGTGTAATGCCATGAAAATGGGTAGAGTATAGCATGTAATGCTTCAATGCATGATGACAATTTACTGCAAATAATTGTAATTTTATAAGTTATTTGACTTTATGGTATACCTTACATTCACTTCCATGATGAAAAATTATTCCCAATGAAGAGCATATATCCTATGCCTTACCTCAAAGAATTACTGATAAATAAAACTTTTCGTTCCAAGAGAAGTGATCCAAACACTTGCAGAAGAATTGGCACAGGAAGCGTAGAAAAGAGCAGGGTCAAATCATGTTCCTCCAAGCGAGAGTCAAGTGGCCTCCTCAACTGATTTGCAAGTGATCTCAAAGAAGCCTCCACACTGTCTGGAACTGATCAACATGCACAATTACTTAGTTATTCGGTCTGCTTCATTAAGCTTTATCCCCAAATTTACACATTGTCTGCGTACCATTGTCGAGCAAATTAGTCAGTTTCAGCGTTTGTCCGGGATTTGGAAACTCACAAGCATACAATTGTTTGATAAAAGTTTTCTGGAGCCATTCAGGTTGGCCATGCTGAGATTCTAATTCTGACAAAATCTGGAAATTAAAAAAGGAATTAACCACTTATAAACTCCCCCTCTCCCTCACACACACACACACATATATCCATGCACATGTAATAATTATAAGTATTGTATTGTGGTGTTATATAGTTAAAATGTTTACCCATATTTGTTTAAATAAATTCTAAAGTGATACAGTGCAGGCTTGTGTTTATGACAGGGTTCATAGGTCTGCATGTTTGGATGCTTAAATGTATGTATGCATGCTTATAGGTATGTATGTATGTATGTATGTTTTTTTTGTTTTTTTTTAATGAGGGGAACTGTGTAAATCTTCAAAAGACGAAGAGGAGCTTGCACTCCTCAACAGTGTGAGATTTTTACCCACTAAAACCACAAACCCTTTGTGTTCCTGGCGTTATCCACAAGATAGAGATATAACTGCGGTTCCAGGGTG